TCCCTGCCTCGGCAAGGCCCTCTCTGTGTCGCCAGTTACTCAATAAACCCGCCACTTCGGGGATAAAAAAAACCCCATTGCATGCTTGAAAACCTGTTTTGCAGGTGAAGCACACGGCTAAAATGCATTTCGTGTCACTTGAGTTCAATGAAAGGCCTTTTGAGGGGTAATTAGGGAGGTATGCAACAGGTCTAGTGTTGTTGTGTGGTAACGTGCTGCCTCAAATACAGACACAAGGATGGAAAACGAGCGTCATCACGAAGCTAATGCAAGGTCAACTTACCTGAGGCTCCTCACCGACAACTTATCCACACTACACTGCACTTTGCGGGGGAATATGAACATTAAAACCTGTAAAAAATACATTAGTAGATCTGCCGACTCACGCTGGATAGCTCCTACTGTCTCAGCCACTCTCCATGTTACCCAGGAGTGGGACTTACGGAGTTGCATCTAAACATTGGAATGGTGTCCCAGTGAAAGACTATTCTGTCAGGTGTAGTCTTTATCTTCATTACTGTCAGCAATTTGCAGTTAAGAACACAAAAAACGGTAGTAAACAGAGCAAAATCCAGCATCAGTGAGGTAAAAAGACCAGTTTCCCCAAGGCACTGTCCTGGCACCTCTGCTGTTTCATATCCTCATAACGTAGATAAAAACACCCGTCACAGTTTTATATCATTATTTGCGGATGGCACTAAATTAAGGATGAAAGTCACTTCGTTAGAAGACACTGAAGAATTCCAGGATTTTCCAGTGGGGGGTGAAGACCATGACGTTCAATGATGTTAAGTTCCAGCTGATTACGTATGGAAAACAATGAGGAACTCAAATGGGACACTGTATACAAAACTCGAGAGGATCATCAACTTGAACGAATGGAATATGTAAAAGATCTGGGAGTAATTATGTCAGCTGACCATAACGTACTGGAGTGAGAGATATGGGAGGAGGTGCAAAATAAACCCAGCGAAAAGTAGAGGCACCGTGGGCACAATAAGGGAACACTGTATCAACATCCATGACCCCAGACTATTCAACATCTTACCAGAAGATATCAAGAAAACCGATGGGACAAGTGTAGAAGTCTTCAAGAGGAAACTGGACAAGAATCTTCACCAGATGCCAGATCAACCAGGCTATGACGGATATGTGGGTCAGTGGGCCACCAGCAACAACAACCTAGTTGACTAGGCAAGCACCAGACGATCCTGGCTCGCTCCAGCAGTAGAAAAAATCTCGGGACACGTTAATAATATATGAAAGTTGATCGTGGCTGTAACAATTCACAGATAATCCACACTACATAAATTTGGGCTGACACTGGTTGCCTGGACAGCAGCCTGAGCCAAAGTCTGCTCCCTGCTGTGATGATTCGTATTCTGGGTGTCCTTGAGCCATTTCTATATAATTAACTATGTTCTTCAGCAGAAGAGGGACCCAGTAGAGGGTCGAAATATACAGACCAATTAATCTCCAGAGTGTCTGACTCCACGAAAGTTATTTCTGACAAGTTTTCGTTATACTTTATTTAGTTATTCACAATTATCAAAATAAACACCATTGAAAAAAATTAAAATACGTATGAGTCCTCAGTAATAATTCCTTATGGGTGCTGCCTCAACCCTGGTGAGGGGTCCCATGATCATGGGGGCCACAGGACTACCATTACCATTATTATTGCATTCATGGGGGAAATGCTAGACTCTTTGGGATCATACAATGACTGGTAACTGGTAAGACTGGCCCATGCGAGGCATGGGCCAGTAGGCCTGCTGCAGTGTTCTTTCTTTCTTATGTTCTTATGTGTGTATTATCCTGCCATAAATCAGTTTTGAAGAATTGACACATGTGTAACATCTGGGTGTCTTTATTTGTAGACGTTTCGCCGTAGTTGTAGTTGGTAGAGAGTACCGTAGTCTTGAGGACTACGGTACTCTCTCTACCGTAGTCTTGAGGACTACGGTACTCTCTCTACCGTAGTCTTGAGGACTACGGTACTCTCTCTACCGTAGTCTTGAGGACTACGGTACTCTCTCTACCGTAGTCTTGAAGACTACGGTACTCTCTCTACCGTAGTCTTGAAGACTACGGTACTCTCTCTACCGTAGTCTTGAAGACTACGGTACTCTCTCTACCGTAGTCTTGAGGACTACGGTACTCTCTCTACCGTAGTCTTGAAGACTACGGTACTCTCTCTACCGTAGTCTTGAGGACTACGGTACTCTCTCTACCGTAGTCTTGAGGACTACGGTACTCTCTCTACCGTAGTTTTGAAGACTACGGTGCTCTCTCTACCGTAGTCTTGAAGACTATGGTACTCTCTACCATAGTCTTGAAGACTATGGTACTCTCTACCATAGTCTTGAAGACTATGGTACTCTCTACCGTAGTCTTGAAGACTATGGTACTCTCTACCATAGTCTTGCAGACTATGGTACTCTCTACCATAGTCTTGAAGACTATGGTACTCTCTACCATAGTCTTGAAGACTATGGTACTCTCTACCGTAGTCTTGGCTGAGGGACTGATCACCTCACCTTCTATACATAGTTCTACCGTCTTCCCATTATTTCCTTGAATTTGGACTGATAAAGCCACTGGATGGCAAAAACGTCTCGAAAGATTTTTTAAACTCACCACATCTTAATAACACAATCGTAAACAAACCACGGAACGGGTGAGGTTTGAACCCATGGCGATGAGTTTTAGGACCTATTAGCCAATAGCTACCGCATATATTTCTGTCCCGGAAGCCATGTGTTTCCTCAAGGTGTCCTTGAAATACAAGGCGTTGTCTGGTGTTATCTGGCCATTATCTGGGACGTGAGTGTCCCTGTATAGGCAGGACACCAGTCTACCAGCACAACACGTGTCGGATACAACCGCGTAGCTGTGAAGTGTTAAGATGAGATTTGCTGGGATTTTCAACCCTATGGGAGGTTAACCTTCCAGGATAACCTGGGGAAGGGTTAGCCACTTGGGATAACCCGGGGGAGGGTTGGCCACACATGATTACTCGTGGAAGGGTTCGCGACCCAGGTTAATCCGAGGGAGGGAGGGTTAACCACCCAGGATAACCCGGGGAAGGGTTGGCCACCCAGGATAACCCAGGAAGAGAGGATTAACCACCCAGGATAACACGAGAAAGTCAGTGCGTCATCGAGGACTGTCTGCATTATTTCTCATTTTGGTCCTTCAATCTTGTCCCCCAGGATGCCACCCGCACCAGTCACCTAACACCCAGGTACCTACTTACTGCTAGGTGAACAGTGACAACAGGAAACTTGCCCAACGTTTCCACCCGTCCTGGGGATTGAACCACAAACACTCAGTGTGTGAGGCGAGTGCTCTGCCAACCAAGCCACGGGACAATGTATTCCCCGAGACAGTCGGAATCAATAGAGGAAACCGGAGCTTCGAAGCTCTGGGTCGTCAACCACACACGAGAACATCGTCCAGAAGTATGAGAGGCGGGCACCCTTAACAATAATAACAATCTTTATTTCTAAAAATGCATGATACAACTTAGACCATAGCTGACATCAGTAACATGCTACTGTATAGAAAGTCCCTTGTTTTCTAGAACATTTCCAGCAAATTAGGTCTTGGTCTAGTCACCCAAAGGCCTTGGCCTGGACATCCAATGGTCTTGGTCTTGTCACCCAAAGGCTTAGGCCTGGGCATCCAATTGTTTTGGTCTAGCTACCCAAAGACCTTGGCCTGGACATCCAATGACTTTGGTCTAGTCACCCAAAGGCCTTGGCCTGGCCATCCAATGGCCGGCCAGAGAAGAGACGAAGATGGAAAAAGACAGGAGGCAGGTGACCTTGTATACCAGTCCACTATACCCCACTACCAGTCCGCTACCAGTCCACTATACCCCACTACCAGTCCACTATACCCCACTACCAGTCCGCTACCAGTCCACTATACCCCACTACCAGTCCGCTACCAGTTCACTATACCCCACTACCAGTCCGCTACCAGTCCACTATACCCCACTACCAGACCATTACCAGTCCACTATACCCCACTACCAGTCCGCTACCAGTCCACTACACCCCACCACCAGTCCGCTACCAGTCCACTATACCCCACTACCAGTCCGCTACCAGTCCACTATACCCCACTACCAGTCCGCTACAAGTCCACTATACCCCACTACCAGTCTGCTACCAGTCCACTATACCCCAATACCAGTCCGCTACCAGTCCACTATACCCCACTACCAGTCCGCTACCAGTCCACTATACCCCACTACCAGTCCGCTACCAGTCCACTATACCCACTACCAGTCTGCTACCAGTCCACTATACCCCACTACCAGTCCGCTACCAGTCCACTATACCCCACTACCAGTCCGCTACCAGTCCACTATAACCCACTACCAGTCCGCTACCAGTCCACTATACCCCACTACCAGTCTGCTACCAGTCCACTATACCCCACTACCAGTCCGCTACCAGTCCACTATACCCCACTACCAGTCCGCTACCAGTCCACTATACCCCACTACCAGTCTGCTACCAGTCCACTATACCCCACTACCAGTCCGCTACCAGTTCACTATACCCCACTACCAGTCCGCTACCAGTCCACTATACCCCACTACCAGTCCGCTACCAGTCCACTATACTCCACTACCAGTCCGCTACCAGTCCACTATACCCCACTACCAGTCCGCTACCAGTCCACTATACCCCACTACCAGTTCGCTACCAGTCCACTATACCCCACTACCAGTCCACTATACCCCACTACCAGTCCGCTACCAGTCCACTATGCCCCACTACCAGTTCATTACCAGTCCACTATGCTCCATTACCAGTCCACTATACCCCACTACCAGTCCGCTACCAGTCCACTATACCCCACTACTAGTCCGCTACCAGTCCACTATACCCCACTACCAGTCCGCTACCAGTCCACTATACCCCACTACCAGTCTGCTACCAGTCCACTATACCCCACTACCAGTCCGCTACCAGTCCACTATA